GCTCGGGAAGGGCTAGCGTAGCCGCCCGCACTCGGTGCGCAAAATGGTTAAGAGTTTCCCTACCCTCGCGCAATGCCAATTGGTTAAACCTGGTCCTCATTTGGCGCTGATGGCTTCCATTGCACAACCGCTCTTTTGCCAAGCTCCAGAGCTCATCTGCGTCACAGTCAAGGTTTGACGACGCGATACCCTCGAAGATGGAAAGGGCAGTTCCCGTGAAAGCGCAGGCGAGTAGGCGGCGATGGAGTTTGCGCCGCACCGGAAAATCTTGAGTGAGGCGTCTCCACGCCCGCCGTGCTGCGAAGAAATTCTTATCCCCTGCGACTGAGATGCGTACCGGTTCAAGGGACTTGTCATAAGTCTTAAACGCAGTGCCGGGCTTCAGAAGGTCGCTGCCATCAATGGATACGACGGATAGCCCTCTTGTCGAAGCAGGAGATGTTTCTCCTTGTTCAGCCTTGCCTGGTGGTGGGCGTGCCGACGCCAGTCGCGCCGGAGGCGCTGGCCCTCCCGGTAGTTCCGCAGCCTCCAGAAAGCTTTGCTGGAAACCGCGTACCTTGGCACCTCCTTTGGCCGAACTCGTCTCCACAAGGACTCCCAGATCTCCTACCGCGTCGCCAATGGCCCTTATCGCCCGGGTATTCTGCTGCAGATTCACGAGGATGGCCTCCATCACTTCCTTCATGGACTGCAGTGGTTCCGATGGGGCGAGACCGCCAGCTCTCAATTCCATTTTGCGGTAGCCCCCTTCGGCTGTCGGCTCCCTCAGATTTTCCACCTCGTCACTGGTAGTCATTCGAGCAAATTGCTCTTCCATTTCCTCTTGTTTCGTCGCCATGCTTCCGGGTCCTGTTCCAATTTTCTTCACTGGTGCACTCATCGTAAACACGGCCCTTGTTCCTTGTCCCTGTCAACCCAGACCTGAACATCGAGATGTGGTATTCACTAACAAATTTGTTATGTTGCGGCTAGCCCAAGCCGCATACCTCACCGACCGAGAGCGCAAAAGACCCGCGTGATAACCTCTAGTTTACCTTTGCGTTTCCACTTGATCCCTCGATACCTACATTTCTTACCAGCGATCTCTATCTTATATTCTTGGTGAATGCCGAGCGGGTCTCGGATCGCATGCTGTCGGCAGTGTCGGCATGGGATCGATCCCGTTGGGCCGTTGCCGACGACTTTGAAGCCGCCACCCAGGGCCTACCGTTCGCGCTCCCCTGTCGTCCTCCCGATTCCCTCCTGCGTCCTGCCTCGCCGTTCGCGTAACTGGCTTTCCTCTCGCGCCTGCAGTGCTCCTCACTCCTGCGTCCGACCGCACCCGCGTGTTCCGAACGTTCTCCTGCAGCCTGCGACCACAGCGCCCATGCGCGCGGCGCTCCTACTTCTAGCCGTCTCTCCCCGCCGCCTCGCTCTCTCCAACGGTCCCGGTCTCGCCTACACCCGCCGGACGGCTTTCCCGCCCGCCACTGTCGGTCAGCGGCGGGCAGCCAAAAAGTGCGCGCACAGTTTGGGTGATTCGATCCTGGGATCTAGGCGCATGTCCACGCAGCTGCCACGTGTGGCGTAGAAACCTGATATCCGACGCGCAACAGTAGTGTAATCTGAAAGCATCAAGACCCGGCTGGGATATGCAAGTAACCTTGCTGTGCTGCGCTGGACCTCGCTGTCAACGTACACACGGGTTACAAGTGTAATACGCCAGCGCACACACTATACGTTGTCCTTGCTGTAGTTTTAGGGTACTCTCTGCCTAACACGCAGTTTTATTGGTAGTTGTGTATTTCTGCTGAGCTGTATAGGTTTTCACCCGAGCTACTAAGCCACGGTTTCCTGTACCAGCTTAGATTTTTGAACTCTATAAAAGGTCAACTTGTGGTGGGCTTGGAGGACTAACCTCACCCATTACCAACCGAACATCAACGATTATCAACGAGAAGTATTTCCTCAGAACGAACTAGCCGATCTAGTGTTCACCTCGGACAGGCTGTCCCCCACGCCCATCGGGGGTACCTTCAGACATCGGCGAGTCGGTGTCCAATCCGAGTTTCATTTTAAAGGGGTGCTCCCGACGAGCACCTATCAAGCTATCTAGTCAGCTTCACAGTGTAACAGCTGTGAGACGGGGTTTTTGGCACATTACGCAATCGATTAAAACCCGATTAAGTTCCTGTCTGTCTTTACGTACCTGTGGGCTGGATTGCAAGGTACTAGTTGTCTGTTGAAGTACCTGTGGGCTAGAGTGCCAGGTACAATTTGTCTCTGTTCAATACATGTGGACTGGAGTGCCAGGTATCTGAACGTGCTCTAGCACCGAGTTATTACACTTCTCGGGTGCGTTGCCTGTGTACCAAGATCTCTTGCTCGACTCGTCGATCCCCCACTAGTCTCTTTGAGGCGGATAACAACGTCGCTCGAAAGAGTGGGTGGAGTGGCCAGGGCCTGAGGTGGACGGGAAGGATGGCGAGCTAGGCGCAAAAACGCTCTTTTTCCTCACTGTTTTTCTGCTGATTGCTGTTGGCTCGGTAGCAAGTGGCGAACTGTCCTTAAGTCGCGTTGTTTGGATTGGGTCTTGCCAGTGGTAGTGAAGCTTTAAAACGGTTTCGTGCTACGTTCCCGCAAGAGACCAGTCTGAGGTTAAAGGCTGTTGCGCAGTTTACTGTATAGCCTCTCTAAGGAAGTCTCGTAAGGACCAGAAAGCTTCTTTGTCTGAGAACGCAGAGAAGGGTAGCACGCAGAAATCGTATTCTGACCCGGACGGTATCCAGGCGTCAGAAGTCGGACCTCAACTACCTGCAGGGGCTGCAGGCGTCGGGAGTCGGACTCCAAAGAACCTACCTGCAGGCGCCAAGGGTCGGACCGGAACAAGTGAACAAGGAAGTCGCTGATCGACTTCAGACTGCCACTGATCTGCCTTCGTCGTCCAACCTGGTCTTCTCCGTCTTTGACAGAAAAGAAGCAAAATGGCTTCCCAGTAGCAGGCTTCTCCGTCCGATCGGGCCTTGCTCTGCCACGCAGTGGACATGGCGAGGTGAGTGGGAGGGAGGAGCTGCGGGCAGCAAGAGAGAGATGAAGAATGCAAAGCAGCCGCGGGGGCGAAAAGGGTTTTCGGTCACCAAGTACAAAGCACCCATAGTAATTGGCTCCCACTGCAATTAAAAACCCCGTGTCCACATGTGCCTGTTGTCATCCGCTACTAAATACAAATCACTACAAGTAGTTGCCCTCCCCGCAAGTACAAACGCCCGGTGTCCACGTGTGCGATGTGTCAGCGGTTAGGCCGATCATTGTGGTGATTCCTTGATATGGAAGGAATAGACCATTCACGCAAATTCTCTCGGACAGCCCAAAGAGCCAAATAACTACTGAGAAGACAACTATTTTTGACGTATCACACATTAATAAATAAATCACACACTAACTGTAAATATGGTCGACCGTTTCGACAAGAAACCTGCGAATCGCCAATACGTGGTCAATTGCTGGACTTCGATTGAATTTGAAAGAGCAGCATCTCAACCTGTAACGCCCAGTTCATTTGATAAAAGACCGGGCCACATCGTAATGACAGAGGTCAACGCCTTTCAAAAATTCAGAACTGGTTCTTCCCGCCCTCATCCCGCCCCCTTCCGCTCCGCCTTCTACACCTACAGTGTCAAGCCCCCTTCCCCACCTTGCCACTCCAATCCCACACACGCCACTTTTATACCTACACAACTCCACGCCCACTTCCACACCTTTCCATCCTATCTCCCTGTCCTCCATCGTCTCTGTCCCACTCTGCACTAGTTTCTTTCCATCTGCTCTGCCACTTTTACCCCTCTTGCCCCACCCCCGCTTCCTCCGCCGCGTGCCCCTCTCGCCTGCCATTTCCTATCATTATCGCACAGTGCACTATGGCCTGCTTCTCATCTCACGATGCAGCACAAGCCCTGCAACTCTTCGCCAATGCGTCAATTGATCGCCCTAATGAGCTCGAGGCGTTAGAGGACGAGCGTCCAGAGGACAGTGATGAGGATAATGGGACTGATGCGCCAATATTTGACGGTTTCTACGATGAGGGGGGTGCAAAGGCCATTGTGGAGATGACCAACTTCAACCCGGCCCAATTCATCGGCATTTGGGCTGGGTTTGAGGCGTTGGTCCTTGCAAACTACAACGTCGGTCGTGGGCGCAAATGCGCGCAGAAGCCTAAAGACGTGCTATTCATGGTATTGGCGGTTCTTAAGCACGGGGGTACGTGGGATTTTTTGGCGAGGGTGTTTGGGCAGAAAACGTCCGCGTTTGAGCGAATGGTGCTTCGGTTTATACAGCTCTTATCCGAACCTTTATATGAGCACTACGTCTCAAACCAGACGAAGAGATGGACCATGAAGGAACTGCAGACAAATGGGCATGTGTTTAAAAATTATCCCATGGCAAGGTACGCCACGGATGTGACGTTCCAGCCTGCCTTCAGGCCGTCGGGCAGTGCCGAGGAGAGAAAGCGGTATTAAAGTGGTAAACACAAGTTGTATGGATACAAGGTTGAAGTCTCAGTTACCCCAAATGGTTTCGCTGTCGGTGTGAGCATGCACGAGCCTGGGTCCGTTTCCGATCTCGTCATTTTCCAGGAAATTCAATGGTTTCACCGCGGCACCCAGCGCAAAAGGAGTGATGAAATGGACATTGCGGACAACGGCCCGCTTGCAGAGAGGTACCTGAAGCAGTTGGCAGTGCTAGCTGATAAAGGCTATCAAGGCGCTGGGGAGTTTTGTAGAATTATTCATCCCAAGCGCAAACCACAAGGCTCGTGTTTGTCTCCCGCGGATGTTTTGACAAACAAGTTTATATCTAGTGACCGCATTTTGGTAGAGAACTATTTCGGACGTTTATGCGGGCTTTGGAATGTGTTAGGATCGAAATGTAACTGGTCCGAGATTAATTATGACCCCATATTTCGTCTATGTCTAGTGCTGACGAACTTCCACATACGCTGGAAGCCGCTGCGGGATGACGACATGCAGTTATACCATCAGCTTACAAGCAGGTGGTATCACATTGGGAATTCTCAACTCGAACGACGCCGAAGGATACAGAAGCGCTATCGTCAGAGACGGGCGGACTTCGTGCAACGCCAATTTCGTGCAGAGGGGGTGAGGGAGCTGTTTGGGAGACAGCCAAGCGAAAGTATGTAGGGACAGCAGAAAGATACTGTACTATCGTAAAATTATCATTTTTGCTCTCGATTTTTATGCATTGCTGTATAGGACGTTGAGTCGGCTGTTGGAGTCCACTACAGCATATTTTAGCTCACCTTCAAAAGGACCGAGTCGTCCTGCAATTGTCACTGTTCTGTTCTGCGCAAACCCCCTTCATTTGCGTTGGGAGACCTAATGACTCTCTCAACGGCCCGGACAGTCATTCCTCCCTCATGTCGTTGGTCAGCGGCACCTCCCCTTTTGCTCAGTGGTTATCACAATCATATTGGCGACATCTTCTTGCGCCTTTCGTGCGCGGTCGTGCGTCTCCGTCCTCCGCATCTCCCGCTATCCCCTGCACCTTCATACGACATGCCCCAACCTTCCGACATCCGCGCCCAGCCTCAATCCTCCGCTCCCCATCATCCACAATGGGCTGCACTCCCTCCAAGCCGCGCTCCGAGACCTCCGCGCGCGCGCCCGCGCCCGCGAAGCCCGCGCCGCCGCGCCCCGCCCCGGTCGCAACGCACGAGACCGCCTCCTCCGCCAGCCTGGTCGCCGGCTCGATGGCCGCCGTCGCCTTCCACGGCCTGCTCAACAGCGATGGCCTGACGCTGTCGCGCCCAGCCACGTCCGCGCTGTCCAAAGTCTCGCGCGTGCCGCGCGCGTCGTCCTCGCCGCCGCCGCTGCCGCCGCCGGAGCCGCTGACGCGCGTGGTCGGCGTCGCCATGACCATGCCGTACGTCGTCCTCGTCCCGACCGTCGCGGACGCGCCCGCCGTGCAGCGCCTCGCGGACGACGTCTTCGCCCACGCCCACACCTATCTCAACGCGTGGAACCCGGCCAGCGAGCTCACGGCCGTCAACTCGCAGAAGCCCGCCAAGCCACGCCCGCTCTCGCCGCACCTCGCCGCCCTGTTCGACGTCGTCGACCGCGCCTTCGACCTCACAGGCGGCCGCTTCGACCCCACCACTGGCGTCATCTCACGCGCGTACGAGAACTGCATCGCCGACAACGCACGCCCGCCGCTGCCGGCGGAGACGGCTCGGTACAAGCACGCCATCGGCTGGCGCAAGCGAATCTCACGCACCGCAGACACCGTCACGCGTGGCAACGCAAACACCATCGTGGATGTCGACGGCATTGCCAAGGGATTCGTGATTGACTTGCTCGTCGCCGCCCTCGTCAACGCTGGACACCTGAACTGCTACGTGGACTGGGCCGGCGATATCCGCGCGCAGGGCCACCACCCAGACGGCAGGCCGTGGCGCTCGGCCGTCATGGCCCCGCCGTCGCTGAAGCGCGTATTCGGGCACTGGAAGGACGGAACCATGGACGAGCTGCTGCGCGACGACGACGTCGCCTTCTTCGCAGACTTTGCGTTCGACCGCGCAAACGCCGGCAAGCTTGACGGCGCCGCCATCGCCACGTCGGGCGACTACTTTGCCGTGCAGCGCTACGGCTTCCACCATATCGCACGCGCAGACACGCTATCTGTCATGAAGGCCAACCAGATGTCGGTCGCGTCGGTGTGCGTCGCCGCGTCGACGTGCGCCATCGCCGATGCTGTCGCCACTGCGTCGATGACGTTTGACCGCCTGCCGCAGGCCGTGGCCTTTCTGCAGCAGCTCGTCGACAGCCACCCGGACACCGTGTATGGGTATTGCGCAATGGACCGCGCCGAGGCCACGTGGCCCGACGCACCCGCTAAGAGCCTCTACTCGGCAAACATCTTCAGCCCCGCCCTGCGGAGCGAGCCCAACTCCACGTCCACGAGCTCCGGCGATGAGAAGGGCCTCTCCGCCGCAGAGCGGCAGCAAGCGGTTGGTGACATTGGGCACCACACGGTGACCAACTACTACCGGTGCACGTTTGACGGGGCGGAGATTGAACTGGACAACTTTCGCGGGTGCTCCATGCAGCCGGAGCAGGTGGTCTTATTTGTGACGGATGACGAGTTTTTCAAAAGGGCGTCGCTCGTCGCGGAAGACCCCCTCAACCAGGTAAGGGTGGAGCTTCTCGCGCCGCGGCCTTCGACGTCGTCATCATCATCATCCTCGTCACTGATGCTGGACGAGCGCAAGACAGGCGTCACGGCCGACTTATCGCTGAAGAACATCTCCGTCGTGGGCGGGTGCACCGTGGTACAGGCGGTGGTAACGGCGGTGAGCCTAGGCGAGGCGGAATTCGTGCAGGCGATTTACCGAGACACGTACCTTGCCAAGCGCGCGGTGGCACTCGACGTACCGCGCTCCAAGCTGCCGTTCTACCCACTGGACAAGCAAACCAAAACGTTGCTGCGACAGATGCCGTCGGCGATGTGGGTGGTGTCAACCAGCGCGGCGCACGGGGAGGATCTGGCGATGACGGCGACGTCCGTCACGGTGCCTGCGGCGGCGCGCGGGATGATATGCTTCAATGTGGGGCACTCGAGCGCGTTCTACGCGGGGCTCGGCGGGGTCGGGGCGGGCGTGAGGCTGTTCGCGCTTTCGACAAGGCAGAAGGACATTGCCGAGCGGTACGTGACGAGGGCTGCGTTGGGGAAGGAGGATAGGACACGGGTGGAGGAAGAGTGCATGGTGGCGGCAAGTTGCACGATTGAGCATACCGAGGATGTGCAGGACCATCACATTGTTTTGACGAAGATTGACGGCGTCAAGGTGCCGGAGAAGGACGAGGAGGGGTTGATGCCTTTGGTTTGGCAACACGGAAAGTTGATCACGGAAAGTTGATCACGTAGCGGTAGGCGCCGGGTGCTGAGAGTCGGCCCTTGTGCGCTACAGTATTAAATTATATAAACGCTTTTTTAATTGAAACAAGGTCTTGAGCAAAGAAAAATGCAGCAACTCACAACTCAGAAATGGCCATTAGACTCGCCCCTCCCGGTGCACCGCCGTTCCCATCGCCGCCCTCTCGTTTCCCCCCCTTTCTATCCCGATCGCCTCCGCCGACGACACCCTCATCCTCACTGAAGGGAACGTCATCCAAGCCCTCGACGGTGAACAAAACACACACTCGTTCTCTCGTTCTCCCGCCATTTTTTGTACACGTACGGTATGTGAAATGTATTGCAGAAGGGACTTCACTATACATGTATATATCACATTCAGGTTGCAACGTGTTTCTGACTGTCGTACCTCCGGTGAGTGAGAATGTCCGGCGAGCAAGAATGGCCGCGGCAGGAAACAATGTCGTCTCTGGCCATCCCACCGAGCACAAGGAAGGCACAAGGAAGAGTGCCTGGCCTCGGTCTACTTGACGGTGTAACCACAAACAAGTGCTGATCGGATAGCCGCGGCGGTATCCTGTACCCCTGTCTTCTTCCTCCCTGTTTCCAACCATCTCTTAAGAGATTAGATGGTTGGAACAGGGACACTCAACACACTTACACATTAATACACATTAATGTGAGAGTGTCCGTGCACGAGCAGTTGCCCGTGGCCAAACAAGCCAACACCTCCATTTCACACAACCTCTTCATGCTCCATCATGCTCCCCCCACCACTACCAACAAGCCACAGCCTCCCGACCACCGCCCGTCTTCGACGCTACACACGCCGTCAACCTCAACGCTAACACCGTCGTCAACACCGTCGTCAAGGTTTCGTTTCCTGGCGGAAACGAAGTTTCTAATACCTGACAAAGCGAAAACCACCGCAAATCCGCCGTGCATATCTTGAACTTCATACTACAACGACTGATATCGCATGTGCCTGTTCCGCCTCCAGTTTTGTTTGCTGGTCTCGCTACGCGCAGTCTCTACGGACGACACTATTCCCCGCACACTGACGCAACTGCGCGCGACACATAGAAAAGATGTACCGACTACTTTTTTTGCGGAGAGGGGCATCGAGGCGTCGGGTAATTAGAAACAACATCGAATACATACAAATTTCTCCTGGCACATCATCCCTTACTACATATACCGTGGGTACAACCCCTCCTGTCCTGTCCTGGCCGGGACATCCCCTTTTGCCCAGTGGTTATTCACACACTCACAATCACACTACTGCACGAGCTCGTAAAAGTACAGTTTTGCTTCTACCTGGATCGCAATGTGCCGACCTGAAGTAGAACAGAACCAACGACCAAGTCTCGCAACGGTTGCTAGGCGGATTTCGTCATCTCCTGTCTTGTAGAACACTCCATCTCGTTTTTGCCGACTCCTCAGTTTCCTCTCCAGTTTCCTCTCTAGATCCGCCGCCGTGAGTTTGCCCTCATTCGTATCGATGAACTGGCGCAGATCGCTCTCTTTGAGATACCCAACATCATCGTATTGCTTTTCGCAGACAGCGCTTTGACTCGTCACGGACAGGATTCGTAACGTTCCTCCATCCACCGTCGCTATTCGCGACCCGTCCCGGAACCAAGCAATATGCGTTGGAGGTTCACTGTTTCTGTTTGTCCTTAATATCACCCTGTTTCTGTTTGTGCTATACTTTAACATCACCCCTGTCTCAATATCCCATATCGCAAGCTCTCTTCCAATTCCAAAGGCTACGCGTCGCCCGTCAATTCACCAAGAGATCTCTTGAGCTGGCACTGGTACCGATATGTTACACCTGTCTCCCAATTCCAGATCATAACTCCGACTCTGATTGGTTTCCCATTTTCATCAATTTCAATTTCAACATATCCAGTTGACGCGATCCACTTGTCATCTGGAGACCACTTCACCGAAGCAAAAGAGCGAGAAAGAGTATCATAAGGGGAGAACAGAGCCCCAACAGAGAACGGAGCCCGCCGAACAGAGAACGGAGCCCGCTCAACAGAGAACGAAGCCCGCACACCTTCTTCACCTTCTCTCCAGGGCCGCTTCACAAAGTTGAACCAATCTATGTGAACTTCGTCTGCAAATTCGTCTGAATACCACTCAAGCAGACCGCGGTCCGCAGCCCATTTCAGGCCGACCGAATCTGGGACACGTTCGGGGGCATCGCCCATCGTCTCTCCTGTTTTGGCGCCCCGCAGCACGACCCCGCCATCTGTATGCCCACATGCCACCCTGATCGCCTCTCCCGTTCTGGCGCTTAACAGCACGACCCTGCCCTCGTTACTCCAACTGCCAAGCGCGATCTTCGTGTCGTTTCCAGCCCACGCCATGCACCCGATCCACATGTAGGTGTCCGTGATTCTCTCCCATAACTTGTTCCCAGTCTTCCCGTCCCACAACCCCATCCCCCTTCCAAACGACACGAACACCCTCGTCCCATCATTGGACCAACATGCTTTGGACCAACATGCTTTGGACCAACATGCTTTTGCGTAACCACCGTAACCATCCTTGGCCCAGGCCTCCCCGCATTCCCACAACTTGTCGCCCGTCTTGCTGTCCCACATCGCAAACGTTCCATCTTCTGCTGCCGTAAACACCCGCTTGCTATCTCTAGACATCTCCAGACAATGCACAGGGCTTGCGTGTGTCTCAGCATCCCCCCACATCTTCTTCCCCGTCTTCACATCGTACATCACTACGTCTCCGTCTCCAACCACAGTAGCACATATGTCATCGCTTGACCACGCAACAGCCGTGAATTCTTGCCCTTCCTTGTTGACCTTGTCGACTTCCTCTTCCTCCTCCTGCACCCTCTCCAGATTATCCCACCTCCAAATGACAATATTGGAATTCGTATCCGCAGAAAACATCCGCTTTCCATCTTCTAGCCAGCCCAAGACCACAACACGCGCCCTGTATGTCGCCATGTGCCGCCGTACTTCTGCCCCGGTCTCTGTGTCCCTCACAGAAACCTCCCCGCCGTCACCGGAAGCAGCCAACCATCTCCCATCCCCGGACAGAGATATTGCCGTTGCCAAAAAATCATCAAATTTCGATATTCTCTTCCCCGAGCGTCCGTCCCATACCGACACCACACCCTGCTCGCCACCACTCTGCTTGCGATATACCTCGCCACAGCACAACCGCGTCCCGTCCTCCGACCATGAAAGACAGCGAACGTCTTCCAAAGGCGCGCTTTCCGCGATACTCCTACCAGTCTCCCCGTCAAAGATCCACAATCTTGCAGATACTTTTTCTTCAACAGATCTTTTTCTAAGTCCCACCATCGTGAACACGCACGCGACCCGCTTTCCATTGTTCGACCACGAAATCAACCACTTGGTCCAATCGAAGTCGGCTAGTCGAATACTCGGCAAGCCAATCACCCGAACCATCTCCCCTGTCTCTGCACACAGTATCAAAATTGACATGTTTGAGCCGCATTCTCCCGTGCACGCCAACCGTTTCCCGCCCGGTGAAAGCGATACTTTCTTAACAACATGGCCCCGCATATTCGCTGCCTCCTTGATCTTCACACCTCTCTCAACATCCCACAACACAACCACACCATCTTCTCTCCCAAACGCTACTCGCTTTCCATCCCCCGTCAAGTCAAAAGGGCGACTGTATCTCTCTACATCCAGGTGCCCTACATCCAGTTCCTGTCCGACTCGCTCTGCTGTAGCTCCTGTATGCATATCCCACACCTGCAAGCTTGTTCCATCTTCCTGTACTACCGCTGCATACTTTCCGTTCTCCGACCAAAGCTTGCTCCCCCATCCCGCTTTAAACGACACGTTTTCTTCCATTTCCCCGTCCCGGAATGTCCGACGAAACAGATGCCTCCTCATTCCCCCCCAAGCGATCACTTCGTTCTTAGCTGCGCATCCCGACATTCCCACCACCCTCCCCTGGTCCGGAAATATGTGTTGCACCGCGCCTGATACGTTCAAGCCAGGTGTAAGCGACTTCAACCACGGCTTCTCCGCAACTTCCTCTATCCTGCGTAAGAACTCTCCAATTACTTCCGACTCGTTCCTGAATCTCAACAGACCATCGTACAGCTGAAACCATACCTCTCTCGAACTTCGACGAACAAAGGACGCACTCAACCTCGCCTGTCTAGCAATCTTCTGCAACGACCACAGCCTGCCTCCCGCTTCGCACCGTTCTCCGTCTTCCCCGGCTACGTCCGTCAAAATCTTGAAATCCTCTTGAAGATTTAGCCCCTCTGCCCGAGTTAACTTCTCTGCCACCCACCTGGCATCACTCAAAACATCCCACAAATCCTCGCCCAGCTGCGCCCCCTTGAGATGGCGGCACAAGTTGTGTCGGAAATACTCGTCCTCCACCATATCCTTCTTCCACCCTCTCCCGCAAACCCACGGCGGCGCTTCTTGCCTGTTCTCACTCTCGTTCCATTGCCATTCTTGCACAAGCTTTTCATGCCACCTCTTCTCTCCCCCATTCCCACATCTCTGTTGCACGTAATCGAGCTGCAAATCGTGCAAACTGACTCCGGCGATGTTGCGACCACTTAACACTCCATCCTTTCGTTCCACTAGACTGGCCTCCACGAATTCGTGCAGCACTTTCAATGCCTGAGCTTTTCCTTTCCGTCTCCATAACAAACAGAGCACACTCAACGGCAACCATCCTTGGCGCCGAATGACCACCAGCGACTCGTACATCTCGGCGTAGGACATCAACTGCCCATCTCCTCTGGTCTTCTTTCGATCCATCATGCACAGCGAAACTTCAAACGCCATTGACAGGTTCTCGTATAGGTACGTCCCATCCGCTCTTTCGTCCAATAGTATTGACGATGTATCTTCCAGACACTCCAAGTACTCATCAAGCACATTTTTCAGACAAAGTTCTTTCGCAATCTCACGATGTCTCGCAATCGCTCTGCCAACCACGGACAGCGCAAGCGGAAGCCCACCGCAAAACCTCAGTATCCTATCCGTTTGATCCCCCAGGTCCTCAACCTCTTCACGTTGTAGGTCAGCAGACTTCAGCAAGATTTCCAGAGAGGAAGCATCTTCTTTTGTCGAAAATTGGATTTCTTCGCTTCCCTCCACCACGCCCCACTCTCGCGCTGTGAACGCTGTACGGCTGCTGTTCTCCACATCCGCAATTTCTCTCAGTCTTGACATGACTTTACTCCCGGCTATGCCTTCTCTCCCGACCATGCCTTCTCTCCAGACATCGTCGATAAGTAACAAAATTGTCTTCCCTTTGAACCACTCTGTGACCCTCGAAACCGCAGATTCTAGCACGCTTTCTTCACGCACCGCCTTCGCTTGCGTTTCCCCTCCGCTTTCTCTCGTGATGCGGGCCAGCTGTTCCATTACTCCTCGTTTTGTCGCGTCTTGACCGAGCACCAGCCAGTATATACCGTCGCAAAACCGGCTGCGAACCTCTTCATTCAAGGCCAGACCGCGTAGGGCGCAAGACTTTCCGATGCCTCCCATCCCCTTCGTCCCCACAACCCCTCCACGGCGCGCTCCAACAGCACCAACATTTTGACGGTCTCCCGGACGCAAAACACTCCGCCTCAATCGTTCTTCCGGAGCCGTCATACGTTCCGTACTGTTGCCAGCATCTTCACTGCGTCCAAACTTCAGTATGACATGGTCCGGGTTCTTTGGCACTTGAAACGAAGCCTTGAAGCCATCCTTCTTCGGGTCCTTCTCCGCGGATGTAGTACGCATTTGATGACGAGCATCGCCAATGGCGTCGCTCCTCTTCGCCTCTTCCTCGAGTGGGCCATGTACGCCTTCTGTCACAACATCGCTCGAATCCTCCTCACCTAGCTTTTTCACCTCCAGAAATACTTGTTCAACAAGATGTTCCCTTGCAAGATGGCCGAATTTATCTCCCGGCAGGTTAGTTGCCCTTACGTCATTCTCAATCCCAGTGATATCTGCCAGCTCTTTTAGCTCCCTCTTCACCATATCCGTGCTCGCCTCGCGTTGTCGTTCCTCGCTAAAAAATTTCTCCACTTCAAAAATATTCTTTCCTTCCTTATCCCGGTACCGGTCGGGCTCCAACTCTCTACATTCCCGAATACTTAGTCTGTAAAATACCGGAATCAATGTCGGTGGCAGCATCCCGCGCGCCATCGCTTCTCTCCGTCGGCGTAGGAAGCAGCGCAGCTCCCTCATAGTCCATTTTCGAGCGGCAAACTCGGGAGAAAGAATGAAAACGCCGACCATAGCAGACTCCATAGCCTTCTTCATTGTATCCGGTCCGTGGCCCCCGGTCTTTAGCGAGGTTTTGTCGAGGAAGCAATTAAAACCCTGATCTTCCAATTTCTGGGAAAGAAGACGTGCGATGTGTAGCTTGTCCGGGCCAGCATGGCTTATGAACACATCGGGAGACCGTATCTTTCGCCGTTTTCTGCTTGGTCCCGTCTCTTGCCGGAAGCTTTCCTGCATTCTTCCTAAACAGCCAGACTCCGAGGACAGAACAGAAAGAAAGAGAAGTTGGTGAGGTGCGGAGTGTGTTTTGCGTGAAAACGGCCCCGGTCGCTCGGAAAACAGGGATGCGAAGGTTGATGGCCGCGTTCAGCGCGTGGCACTCTTGTCTTTGTCAACGGTCAACGTGTCTACGGCGTTGTCAACGAAAGCGGAATGAGTGGGGACGTTTGTGTGGATGAGTAGGATGAGTAGGATGAGACGAAGTACTTGCGCTTGCTGTTTCGTGAATGAACGCTCGTAGAACTCGAGCGTGGAAGGAAGCACCCAGGGTGTATTACAGCCTCGTGAATGAACGCTCGTAGAACTCCAGAGTGGAAGGAAGCAACCAGGGTGTAAGGGCTGTTTGTTGCTCGCCTCTTGATGGTGGCGGATTTGTCAGAACGCGGGGGGGAAAGTTTACTCTGTGCTGTAACAGCTGGCCTTCATGGCCACCAATATAAAAATATCTTGCGTTGTACTGTAGTTCACTGCCGACAAATCAACTAATTTACAGTACTTTGGGTCTGGAATACTGTAAGGAAAAAATAAACTCCAATCTCATCATCGCTTTCGGCCATCACCAATCACATCGACAACTGCCCTTTGACGCAAGTCGCCGACAATACAGAGTAAAATCACGATAGAGTGAGAGCATTGACGGACCGCAAGGACAGACTGTCAGCATTACAGTCTGTCACCAGCGGTACTTAGACCCGCGAGACGGCGATGACGAGTAAAGACACCCCCATGAGGATTACGATTCATCAGGTTATGGCCCGCTTCGCACCACTACGACACACCATCAACTGAACGCAAACTGGATCGCGCTACACGCACTCGCAGCCGTCGAGCGTCTGCAAACAGACCAGCCGGAAAGACAGGCATCACAACCCGCCCCCGCCGCCCCCTTTCCGAATCCTCATCAACACCCAACCTCCTGCATCCAGCAGCCCTTCTCTACATCCCTCCTCCCAGGCAACAACGATCTCACACGGTCACCACCATGGACATTAAGGACATCCCCAAGCTCGACCGATCTAACTATGGACCATGGCTCCTGGCCATAGAATCCGCAGCCTACACACAAGATGCAATCCAACATATCGAGGGCAACCCGCCCACCCCAGACGATGAGCAGGAACGAAAATCCTACCTCCACGCCAAGCACAAACTCTTAGGCAAAATGCTAGCCACAATACCAGCGGACATCATCAACCTCTTTCTTATGCCTGACGAGAACCCCACACCACATGACATCCTGGAGAAGCTCAAAGCCCATCTAGACACAACGAATGCGAGTGACCACCTGTACCTAAAACAACTAGCGGAACAGTGCCACATCGAACCAGGCCAATCAATCTATGAATACGTCCAACGCCATGAGACCATTAGGGCGCAAATGATCGCGGCTCGCTACCCCGACATCGCTAAACAGAGCACAACAGTAGACTACATGATCGAAGGCCTCAAACACAACCCAACAACAGTGGACATCGGACTCCAGCTCCTATCACTGCAACCCAAAGACGTGAAGGACTTCGTGCACAAATACAATCGAATCGAAACATACCGTCAAGCCATCCAACCAAGCAACCCTTGGCCACAAGCAGCAGCCAGAACACGAGCGTACCTACCAACCCACGGCCGCCGCCCCCAACCCCGGCAAATACGCCGACCCGCCACAAGACACACCAACCCCTGCCGCCATCACATCTCAAAGGGCGTCAGGAACCCGCAACACGCGGACAGCGAATGTCGAGACCAAACAAATCCGCAGAATCAAAAAACAGCACGTCGGCGACCCGCCGCCAAGGCACGAGCCATCCTCGAACCAGACGACGCGCATTACAGTGAGCTCAACATGGACGACACCGACACCGAACCCGACCACCACCAAGGCGAGGCGGGTACGTTCATCCTAGACTCCGCAGCGCATCCCACGCACACATCCCGCCCCCTACCACACATGAAGCTCCTCACCCATCCCACAAAATCTCTCACAGCAACTAACCAACCCACGAAATGCACCCACGCCGGCACCATTCAGACATATACCAATAAGGGGTACCCCCTACGCCTCAAAGCAGTACACAGCCCGAACATTCCATACACACTAGTATCTGTCCACGCTCTAGCATCACTAAAATGCACGGTCACATTTGACACAAATACGGCACACATCAGGGACAGACAAAACAAAGTCATCGGCACGGCTCCATGGAATAAATCACTGCACGCCTATGCCTGGTCACCCCGAAAAAGCACCACCCGACACACAGCCAAAAGTGCACGCACCATGCCAACACGAGCCAACAACCGCACGACGACCAAGCAACCAACGGCCACAGCACAGGCCACCCCACCCCGATCAGCGACAAAATCAGCACACCTATTGCCAAATCGCACACCCACCAAAACCCGATCGCCAAAAATACAACACTTCCACGACCCCAACCCACACACACCCAAACAACTGACAAAAACCACCGCAACCGCGTACCAGTGGCACCTCGCCCTCAATCACTCCCCGCCCAAAGCGCTCCAACGCATGGCACAGGAAGGAACCATCGCTAACCTCCCAGCCAGCCTCCAAGGTGCCCCCCCACCCATCAGCTGTTCCTCATGTGCGCACGCTCGACAATCCCCCCGGCCGCACCCAACCGCACACCACTCACAACAAATCGCAGAGCAACTCAGCTCAGACACATGCGGCCCCATCACACCCCCGTCAACACACGGAAATGCACACATATTCACCTGCATAGACACGGCCAGCAGATACCTGGTCACCTACTACATTCGCAAGAGACAAGAAGTGAACGCCATAATACCGCAGTTGTTCCACACGTTGTCCCTACAAAACAAAATCCCCCAAGCGTACAGGACAGACAACGCTAAAGAATTCACATCGACGCACGCCAAAAGCACATATCAATCTCACGGCATACAGCACATAACCAACACCCCCCACCAGCCACAAGAAAATTCTATTGCCGAAAGAATCAACAAAACGCTGTTCACAAGTGCCAGAGCAGCACTTCATCACGCATCACTACCACCCCAATTTTGGGAGGACGCAGTACGCGATGTCGTCTTCAAGTACAACATAATGAGACACAGCGTCACCAAAAAAAGCCCGTGGAGCCTCTGGCACGGCAGACCAGCGCGCATGACACGCATCTTCGCCTTCGGGCAAATCGGAACAGCACCAATTCACGCACACAAAACCAAACTCCAAGCTCGCAGCGAACCCGTCCGATACATGTTCCCAACATCGGAAACGCATATCATGACCATCACGATAAACAGTGCGCGATACAGGGTCATCCGAGCGATCGACTTCAAACCATACTCACGACACCGGGATCCCACACACACGTCAACGCACGCATTCAAAACCAAACTGACAAGACCCAAACCTCGAGCACAAAGCAACAACAAGCGCCGATACATACCACCATCACGAACCATCGACCAAACCACAACAGCACCACGCCATGCCCACGCAGCACGGCAGTACCCGGACGCGGCAGAATGGGAGACCGCACACAACGCTGAATTAGACATGCTGGACCAACAGACCACGATAAAATGGATACCGCCATCAGACGTGCCCCCGCACGAAAAACTCATTCCCCTCACGATGACGTACAGATACAAACGTACACCAACAGGTAAAATAGCAAAACGAAAGGCACGCTGTTCCATACGAGGCGACCGCATGCAGCCAGGCAAACACTTTGACCCTAAACAAACGTCCACTTTTATGGCAGAGAAAACGTCAGTGCGCACAATCCTAGCAATCACCGCATCACACAGATGGCCTCTACAGTACATGGACATCACGGCCGCCTACCTACACGAGACACATGACCCCCGCTTCCCCGTCTATGTGAGACAGCTCCCCCGATTCGACGGCAACCTCCAGCACGGCACCAAAGCGGGACAACTAATAGGCAACCTATATGGGGCCCGATCCGCCGGCCACCGTTACACCGCCGGCCTTCAGAAACATCTCATCAAGCAAGGCTATCAGCAATGCGACAGCGACCCATGCTTATTCACCAAAACACACACAACGGGCACACTGCTGTTCGCTGTCAGCATGGACGACTTCCTCGTCACCGCTTCAAACCAAGCACTCATCGATGAACTACTCACCGCCCTCAAGCAAAAGTACAACATCAAAAATCTCGGATTCCCCCATACGTGCCTCGGATGGCAAATAACACACGACGCACAAGGCACCATCCACATCTCGCAAGAACAGACCATAAGCACCATACTTGCGAAACACAACATGTCGGAATGCAATCCAAAAACAACCCCCGCGCCGCAAAAGCCAAACAAGAACGTTGAGAACCAAACGGCGCCCCCATCCCCCACGCTGGCCACCCACTACCGCTCCATTCTAGGAGACTTCCGGTATGTCGTCGACAGCACCCGCTACGACGCATACCACACCACCAACCAGCTGACACGACACAGCAAGCAACCGAGCCAAGCAAATTGGCACGCGCTCAAATGGCTCCTCCGGTATCTCAAGTGCACCAAGAGCAAGGCCATCTCGTATCACGCTCGAGCCCCGATATGTCTGCCCACATACAGTGACGCAGACTATGCAAATGCCAAAAGCCGCAAGTCGCTCACAGGCATAATACACACTATCGGCCACTCCCCGATAGCCTGGACATCGACGCCACAAGACGTCGTAGCCCTGTCAACCTGCGAGGCTGAATACATCGCAGCCTCGCTCGCCGCCCAGCAGACACTATGGCTTCGTCGGCTGCTTCGGGACATGAAGCACCCACAACAGCATCCCACGACAGTATTCATCGACAACCAATCGACCATACAAGTCGCGGAAAATTCCGCCCCCACGCGCAGAAGGAAGCTCATTGATGTCAGGCACCACCACCTTCAACATCACGTCCAAGGCGCCGCTATCATCGCGCAACACATCCCATCCGCGGGCAACC